GAGAGAGAGAGAGAGAGAGAGAGAGAGAGAGAGAGGTATAATGGCATCATTTTCTAATATACAGTACACAGCCATACAGTTGTGCGTACAGTATATTAAATAAACTCAAACTTGTAGTGCTGTATGTTTTGTGATATAAATAACTGTTGCAACCAATAATAATAATGTGAATAAATATTCTCATAGTTATATCCGATTTTAACATGAATTTTATATCAAGAATATTTTTTTTCAGAATTTATCCAAATTAACTAATATTTTGGGGATTCAATCACAAAACTATTTTTATACTAAATTATTCGGTATACACATAATCACATATAATTAAATGTATAATATCTAGATCAATTCACACCTACATAACTATAATCAACAATTTATCAGAATTTGCATTGAATTAAAAATGATATAATACTAGTGTAATAGTAATTTTAATGTACATCTGTATAAAAATTCTTTTAATAAAAAATTTTGGATTTTTATATATTTATTAAATATGCAAAAAAATATTTTAATTTTAAGGATTTGTTTTACAAAAATATATAAAATTTTTGTAATACATTGAAAATAAAATTACTATAAGTTTTACGATTTAATTTGTTATAGATTCAATATTAGAAATAACAAAATTTTTGTTATATTTATTATTAAAATCGATATTTAAATTTATTTGATAAACCATTAACTGATGATTGAGAAGATGATTGTGTTTTGAGTATAATTATAGATATGTTTCAAACATAAAAATGTATAAAAACTTCATTTTTTATGTGAATAAAATGAGAAAAGAGAGAAACTATTCAGACAAATGGTTGGACGCATTTTGCTTTCATATCAATGCTCCAACTCTTTCACTAAATTTCAATGAAATTTTTAATGCATTAAAAACTCAAATAAAACATCAAAACAACTGTAGTATAAAGAATACACAATAAGATATAAAAAGGCAAGAATTTAATGTCAAATAACATTTCTTTCAAATATTGAGATAATATAAACGTTTGCTGAGAAGAAGTCATTGCAAAATGCGAGCCGTGTTTTAAATTCAAATATAATAAAACTGTTTTATTTCTATAAATTATAACTTTTATGTTATTAAATAACAATAATTATTCACTAGTTTTGAGATGACTTTAAGCATAAAAAGCATATATGAGACAAATACTTACATTACTGTCCAAATAGCCATTACTGTCGGTGTCGTAAAGTCTGAACACAACTATAGATAAAATACAAGGAAATAATATAAAATATTTGTTTAAATAATGCATTTAAATAGATATGTATTGAATTCATTGATCTAAAAAATGAATTTAACATTTAATATCAAACTTATGGTAAATGATTGGGAATAGAAATAATTGTTGACATTAAAGGTCTTACACTCGAGTTTATCCTCAGGTCTTCCGGCTTCGAGTAGTGAGAGATAACAGACCACGTCTTTGAAGGGCACCCGAAGCAGATGCACATCGATATGAGAGCTCGCCTTTCGCAACGGCCGCAGATCTACTGAAACAAAGCAATTGTTAATAAACACCATTCAAATCAACACCAATTTCATAGTCTTCACGCTATTTATAGTTACAAATAGTTTGTATTAAATGAATGGTAAAGTAATGATAAATATAGCTGAATATGTGCTTTCATAGGGAGACAACAGTTATAATGCTTCGCTTATTAAAAATATATCACATAAATGCCAAAATATATAGTTATAACTATTTTCATACATATTTTGATTAATAATATTATATAAAATTTCGAAACATAAAAATAATTGAAATGAAAATAAGATTAAAATAGACGTTATAATACAGTTAACCATACATTTGTATAAATCGTTTCTATTAGTGGTTTTTTAATTACAATAATAATAAAGAAAATTTTCATTTACTAATAATTAGTTTCTCTCTGTATTTATAAGAATTTCGTATTTCTATTAATTTTGGCAAAAATTGAAATTAGATTTCCGCGAGAGTTATGTCTGAATCTTATAAATATAACTGCATTTTCTCTCAGCTAATGGCAAATATCTCTTTATATTAGTTTTAGTCAGAAATGTACAACAAAAACATTATTACAAAATAAGATAATTGTAACCATAATATGCTTTATTTCATTATTTACCATTAAATTTTATTTTTTGGTCAAATATATGAATGCACAACAACATCAACATTTTTCGTAGAAAAGTACAATTATTACTAGAGTTTTCAAGTTTTCAAATGGTTTCTCAAAATAAAACTAAAGCCATTATAATTATATTAACATTAGTTTATCTCTAATCTCATTATTATCCTAACATATTTAGAGAATGAGAGAAAATATCGATTATTTTGATTGTTTAGAGAGAGAGAGAGAGAGAGAGAGAGAGAGAGAGAGAGAGCTGTGAAGAGAATTGTAATAAATTTCAATTATAAATACCACTAAACAGGCCTAATGTTTATTGTCTATAATAGTCTATAAAAATGACAAATTTATCATTCAAGCCGTTGCCTCTTATGGGCAAAAAGAAGTGCTTTAAAGTTAAAATAACTAATTTTGTGAAACAATATCTATTGTACGGAACAGTTATTCCTCCAACGAAACCACTTCTTCTTCTCCATCCGCGCAAACAATCTTTTATTCATTGTTTGAGAAAATAAAAAACAAAACATTTTTCGCTTATCTTTCAAATTGAAATATTCATAACATTAACATTATTTAAAGCATACATTTTTATTTCTTGGGAACACCAATGGAATCGAGAAAATCACAATTTATATTCAAACACAGCAACAAAAAATATATATTCATAACTTCTGACGCTCTCTTACCAATTGCTTTCAATCAAAGTAATCCTCAAATATATTCCCATATATTCTTATTGTCGGCAAAAGAAAAAACATTTGTTATTCTAAAACAAAAATATATTCAAATGACGAAAATTTTATTTCACAATATTTTTATATATCCGGTAACTTTTATTTCGAGAAACAAATGTTTTTACCGGGAATTAACTTTTAAATTTATCTAGAACCTCTAATGATGTGTTTGATTTAATTAGATTCTGGATTTAGCAAGATTTCGATCGTATTAATAAGCAATTACTGATATTATTATTTTTGAAAATTAAAGTCAATTTAGACTTTGTGTTCATTATTATTATCATTGATAGAGAGAGAGAGAGAGAGAGAGAGATTATATATCAAAAGTATATATAAATTCAAAATTAGTGTTATTTAGCGATTGAGTGGAAGAGAGAGAGAGAGAATGACGCCAATCGGTGCGATCGATGCGCTAGTCTTTAGGTATAAGTTAATTGGTTTTGTATTTATCGACTGTTTGGTTAAGTTTATGCAAGTTTTCAGCGCTTAATGGGATTTCAGACTGAGTTTACTATAAACAGAGAAAATTGTGTACATTATTCACAATTAATGAAATAATTTAAGAAATCCTACGGAGTTCTGTCGTCGGCATTATTATCAACAAACACAACACAACAGGCGATCACTAAAACTGATTATATCAACAAATCCAGAGAAGTTTATATCACAATCACAGCCTATGCTCTGATAGGCTGTCAAAAATATGTCACAAAATGAAAATGATTTGCAATTTTTTCTATTATTACTTAATTTTTTCAAATTGGATGCAAAAAAATCATACGAGATATCGATAGCTTCGGGAGATATGATAAAAGTTTCGTATTTATGATTGAATTGTTGAGAAAATACAGATACTTTCGGCCCAACCCCTGAAGGCAGACATTAATCAAATGGCATTTTCTAAATGAAATGAAATCCAATAACAATCGGCAAAATATTTATTATATATCAAAAGTATATATAAATTCAAAATTAGTGTTATTTAGCGATTGAGTGGAAGTGAGAGAGAAATATCCGATGAATTCGTCTTTTATTGAGTGAAACATATTATAAATCAATTTTTATATCAATTGATACCAGATTTGGATTTATGTTATTTTTGATTTCAGGAGTGGATCTTAAATGAAGCGTTTAATGAAATGAACAAAAATATGAGAAAAACATTTCATTTCATCGCTTCAAAGGATAAAGATTTCTCAATAAAATAAAATTATTACTGGAAAAAAGTGTAATAAAAATCAATTCACATTATTATTTGATTGTATAATATTTACTACTTTTTAAATGCACTCAAGTATTGGCGATAATGTTTTGGAGAAAAAATTATATAAATTACTAAACACTTAAGAAAACAATAATATTAGCCGTGAATGTCGTGCCAAACACAAGAAGTGGTGGCCTTTAAAAATAAGGCACAGAAATATACTGCCATTTAATAGATATTCATGTATTGTTGGGGAATATTATATTTCCATTATATCCGGGTTTTAGGAGAAGGAAAGAAAGAAAGAAAGAAAGAGAGAGAGATATGTCTTTCACTAAAAGATATATTGTTTACAAAATATTATAAAAAGATTAACACTAAACGAAAAATAATTATAGTTTCTAATTTTTAATTATATATCAAAAGTATATATAAATTCAAAATTAGTGTTATTTAGCGATTGAGTGGAAGTGAGAGAGAGAGAGAGAGAGAGAAAACACAATTTCGATGAAACACTTCGAGTCAATCAATATTTTCGCTAAAAGCTCACCGATTATCAGAAAAAATGGTCGTTAATTGAAAAATAATACACAATATAATTATCCAATTTTCAAATGTAATTTCTTTGGTGTTTATTTGCTGCCAAAATCTCAAGAATTGAATTGGTAAAAAATAGTAAGTTATTAATTCATAAAATTGTCTAATAAATTCCTTAAATGTTAATTAACAAGAATAATGTTGTTATAATTTAATTCTATAACTTCTTGTCAGCAATGGGTAGAATGTATATTTTTACACATACTGTATTCTGTACACAAATATCTTAGCACTTTATGATTTTTACACATAATAATAGGTCTAAAATGATAAATGTCCGGTTAAATAAATATATTTAAACATCTTGATTTATAACAATGGCAATATTATATCGTGTACTTTTATTATTTAGATAATTTTGTTATTAATAACAGAATTTAAAAATTAGAAACTATAATTATTTGAAGTATAATCTTAACTTTCGACACTATATAAAATGTTGAAATTATAAAACAAACTTTTAAAATAAAAATAATATAATCAATAAGTTTAGTGATAAGGAAAACATTTTTTCATTAAATTTATGGATTCAGAAGTGATATTTTAAGGGAGAGATCGAGAGATATGTCTTTCACTAAAAGATATATTGTTTACAAAATATTATAAAAAGATTAACACTAAACGAAAAATAATACTAAAAAATTGCAAATAAAATATAAGTAATCTTTAAAATATAATTAATATAGTTTTAAGATTAGCGTTGTTTTCAAGTAATAAATTGTGTTTCACTCACACTATGTTAGCCCATATCATAAGCTCTAATAAGTCAATTAAATAATGAAATATTGGCCTTAATTTAATATATTCTCGTATATATATATTGTTTGATTAACGCAACAATTTTTCATATCATTCATCCCTCCAATCAATAATGAGTTTGAATTGGTTTTCAAAGAATTTTATTAATTTTCAACTAAAAATTCCTCTGAAGAATACTTAATGTTATTATAATTTGAAAACACAATAAAGAGACTATAGTTGGAGAAAAATAATTAGTTTTTAAAAATAATATCTATTATGACACCTCTTAAGTGAAGTGCCGTTAGGTTTTGGGTCTTTAATTGTGCGCTCAAAATGAGATGAGGAGATGGGGTGTCAGTAAATATAAAAACCAAACCAAAAATCAATATACAGTATAAATAAGAAGAAAAAAATTAGTTCAAAAAACATAATACAGTTGCCGGCCTTTCAATGCATTAATGCATTCAACCAAATGAAAGTTATGTGTATTTTTGTCACAAATTATTACACAAATTCATAGCGAGAATTGATGGCAAAACACACATAATAAGAATTAAAGCATAATATTTTTGGACT